AGTAGGGTTGAAAATCAATTTTTATTAAGCAAAAATACTATAGAACATGTGTGTGATACTTAAATAAAGTTTGAAATACAAACTTTGTAGATGATAGTGAAATACTTGCTGTCAAAAAATGATATTACTAGCTAATATTTCTACTAGCCTAGAAATTGCAAATTGAAATCAAGTTCAACTCAAAACTTAGAAAATTTCCAAGTTTGTCAACAGCTAGACATTGCTATGTTTAGCAAATTATTTTGAGAGATTGGGTTAAGGGGTGGTGTAGTGTTATAGCTCGATTTGGTAGTCTCATGTGCCATCTTGAGTATAGTGAAGATGGTTTGGCTCCTGAAGCAACCGTTTAGTTGTTTTGGGCGCTTCAAAATTCGTGCACGACACGGTTTTGGGCTGGTTGGCCGTGTGGGCGTGGTCACCATGCTCGGGCGTTCAGTGTCGCCATGCTGTCTGTCCCGCGCGCACGTGCGCTACCGCGCGTGGCCGGCCATGGTTGTTCTGGCCTGGCTATGGCCTGGCCGCCGCTGGCTCCTGGCGCGCGGAGCCGCTACAACTGCTTGCGCAGTCGGGCGGTGCTACCGCCGGCCCCGCCAAGCTGCCGCGCTACCGCCCCACGCCGCGACGCAACTGCTGCCGGTGCTGTCGCCTCACCGTCATGTTCGTGCCCCCTCTGCATCTCTACACCGCTGCCGGCCTAGTGTGTTGCCGCCTCTGTCACGGGCACATGGTCGGGCTCGCCGTCGTCTTGCCATTAATAGCACTGCGGCACGTGCGCCACGCCGGTCGCGAACGCGCTCCTGTTTGCTAGCGCCTGCATGTGGGCCTCCACGATCACGCCTGAAAGCTCTAGTTTGGTTTTGGTGAATTGATGAAATCCTAAGTGCTAACCTAGTTTATCAAAGTGATTATGAGATAGATAGCACTGCTCCAAGTGGTGAAGCAAATGAAGATCATGACTTGATGATGGTGATGCCATGGTGATGATTAAGTGCTTGGACTTGAAAAAGAAGTAAGAGAAAAACAAAAAGCTCAAGACAAAGGTGAAATTGATAGGACCTTTTCGGTTTAGTGATCGAGACACTTAGCGAGTGTGATCACATTTAGGATCGATAGCCGTACTATTAAGAGGGGTGAAACTCGTATCGAAATGCGGTTATCAAAGTGCCAGATGTTCTAACCTATTGCATATGCATTTAGGATCTAGTGGAGTGCTAACACCCTTGAAAATATTTGTGAAAATATACTAACACATGTGCACAAGGTGATACACTTGGCGGTTGGCACATTTGAGCAAGGGTAAAGAAGATAGAGTTGAAAAGGAGTTGATTGCGCTGGTCACGGGGTGACCGGACGCGTCTGACATGCATACCAGACGCGTCCGGTACTGTCTCAGGCGACAGTGTTCCTAACGTGACCGGACGCGTCCGATATCGATACCGAACGCGTCTGGTATTCTGGCTAGGTGCAGGTAGAGTTGCCGAGGTGACCGGACTCTGGCTCAGTGGAGTGACCGGACATTGACGAGTTACTGTTCAGCGTCAGGTCAAAGTGATATAGCCCGAAGTAGGATTGCAGAGAGCGTCCGGACACGTCCGATAGCCAGCAAGTCTCGGATTTTTAGTGTTATAATTGATTGGACGTTGGAAGCGTCTGGTCCGGTGTGACCGGACACCCCAGAGCGGCTCTGGGAACTCTCTGGAGTCGACCGGACGCTGTGTCTCCCGCGTCCGGTCCAGTGTGACCGGACACGTCCGGTCGGCCCAGAGCGGCTCTGGGAGCTCTCTGGACTCGACCGAACGATGTGTCTCTCGCGTCCAGTCGTTTTCTAACAGCGCGTCAGATCATGTAGTATTAGCCATTGGGTGTAAATGGCTAAACAATTTGAAAGAGACACGTGGCGGTCAGGCTGCGACCGGACGCAACGACTGGACGCGTCCAGTGCACATGACCTACGCGTTCAGTCATCCCGCAGTCAGCCCAATAATTGAGCCAACGGCTCTATTATTTGGAGGTGTCTATAAATATCGTTTGGCCGGCTCTAGCTCACTCTCTTGGCCATTTGCATTGACATAGCAATCTTGTGAGCTAAGTCAAAGCCCTCCCACTCATCTCTATCATTGATTCATCATCTTTGTAAGATTGGAAGAGAATCCAAGTGCATTGCTCGAGTATTTGCATCTAGAGCCACTTGGTGTTCGTGTTTCGCTGCGGGATTCTCTTGTTACTCTTGGTGGTTACCGTCACCTAGACGGCTTAGAGCAGCGAGGATCGTCGAGCGGAGGTTGGTGATTGTCTCCAGCTCCGATCGTGGTGATTGTGAGGGGTTCTTGATATTTCTCCGGCGGAGAGTCAAAAGGTACTCTAGTAAATTGCTCATTGCTTGTGTGATCCTCATCTTGTGTTGGTTGTGTGGCACCCTATTGAGGGTTTGGCGTGTGATGTCAATTAGCGCGTGAACCTCCAAGTGAGTGAATCGCCACAACGAGAACTAGCTTGCCGGCAAGCAAGTGAACCTCGGTAAAAAATTATTGTGTCATCATTTGATTCCAATATGATTGGTCTTCATTGGTATTCATTCTTGTGATTGATTGGTTCATTCCTCGACTCGGCGGTATAACCATCTAGCTCTATCTCTTTTCATTACCGCAAACTAGTTGTCAAGCTCTTTATTTTAGCTAGTTGTGAGAGCTTGTTAGCTTGGTCAGTATAGCTCTTTAGTTAGCCTTTGAGAGCACACTAACAAGTTGTGAATAAAGACAATAAGGATCTGATTGATTGAATGCACGACCCTTTATTTAGACCCCAGTGCAATTCGCTCCTGTATGGTTATACACACAAACCCATATGCAAGCTAGCATGGTTCTCAAAGAAGCCCAGCCGGCATCCCACAGTTCAGCCAAATCCTGCGCATTGAGCTATGCACCCTCCCCCGCACCGCTCCGCATCCTAACACTCACTCACAACACTGTACAATTTATAATAAGACGAATCAACAACACCTACTTACAAAGGAAACCATTTGGAACGCTAACTGACCGCGCGCACCAGGAACACCGATGGCGACGTGAAGCCAGCTGCCACCCTCTTCCATGATCCTTTCCGCCAGCTTAGCAACGTGCTCGGGTCGCCGGGGCACCCGGACTGCACTGTGCTAGTCTCCGGCACGGCCGAGGCAAGGGAGGGCTTCCTTCTCCACGGCCGCCCCGGCGACCCAGTGGACCAAGCTCAGTTTGACCAAGCTCAGGTTTAATTACTGTCTTGGAGCAAGGTTTCGAATCCGGTAGAGCAAGCAAAGGTCTGGCCATGGCTCATGCACTACTCAAAGCAAGACGGGGCATGCAAGATGCTCGACCCTCTACGAGGCATGGCGTACACGCTAGACGCTACGGGTCGAGGCATTCGAAACAGACGCAGAGTGCCTCACCCTCCGCTCCTCCAAAGACGGCTGGGTGGTCGTCTCAGGCGGCGCCGAAGATGACGAGGCCTTCGTCTTGAACCCGTTCACCGGGGACTTTTAGACGACTACCGATACTGGATCACGGTTACAGCTGCAACGGCATCTCATTCTCGCTGTCAACCCCGGCGTCTCAGGACTGCTTGTTCTTTGGAATCGTCAGCAATCACAGCGGAGTGTTCATCACCGTTCATACATGGAAGCATGGAGAGGACTCCTGGAGCGTGCAGGAGCTGGAGTACCAAGACGCACCGCCGTTCCCGGTAGCACGCAACAACCCTGTCCTGTGCCGTGGCAAGTTCTACTGCCTAGGGAGGAAGGGCAACCTTGGCGTCTTCGACCCTGCACGAAGCAAAGACGACCCTGACAGTGCGTGGCGAATCCTTGACAAGCCGAAGCCGATCCATGCCGAGATGGAGCTCTTCGACGACGACCACGAGGGTCGAGAGTTCTGCTACTTGGTTGAGCTACAGGGGGAGCTGGTGTCCGTGTTCATGCGCAACGCTGCTGATCCGCCACGGGTGTTCAGGCTCGACAAGGCGGAGATGGCGTGGATCGAGGTGGAGGACATCAATGGCGCGGCTCTCTTTCTGGACATCAGGGCGTCGTATGGCGTGGCGTCTCCGGAAGGTGGGCATGGCAACAGGATTTTCTTCCCTCGGTATTCAGAGGATGAGGATGGGAGTCAGGCAGTGTTCTACGATATGGAGACCAGTATGTACCACCCATCCTTCTACGGCCATAAACAGCCGCTCAAGCGTGTGTGGGTCGTGCCTAATCTTCACGTCGACAGATAAACTAGTGCTTTAGTTTACACACGGGTGGCACATGAGCTAGTTTTGTACACCGCGCCCCCCAAAAAAAAAAAAAATCATACTATTTTCACTGACTACAATCAGAAATATGAAATGTCGCAGGAAAATGTGCTCATGACAGCCTTGTTATAAAGTTTCCGCCTTATTCGCTTGAACTTATCAGCCATGGTATAATGTTTTTCTCTCACAACAAACCAACTTCAGCCGGCTTATCAGCCAAACAGCTTCGTTCCACAGCCTACTCTCTAAATTGCAAAAGAGATTGTGTATATGATTTCTTGAGCAACACTCCATCAACTCGTGTCGTTGAATGCACTATAAATTATAAGAGTGATATGGCATGAGTATTTGAAATACATATATAAATTTCGAGAGAGATATAATCCCTAAATTACAATGTCATTAACCAAACAACTCAATCAGTACTCGAAGTTCCTCAATATAGATAACATCACGACAGTCCACAGCCCACGGTGAACATGTAGTCACGACAGTCAGGAAGAATAGGCACTACTTACTGCTACTTAGCTAAATAAGTAACACGACATAGGTTGACAAGTTTTATACTGCCCGCCCCCAAATGCAGCACAGTCAACTAAGGAGCTAAGCATAACTTTGACGACAAAAGCCTACCAACAAAAGCCTTGCCTAACCTCCCGTGGTATTTACACGATGGGGGTAGATTTTGGTCGGGCCGGAGCCATGTTATCCAGCAGACAGTTTGGATCAAATCAGCAGTTTACGCCGCACTGCCCACGGGAAATAGCCTTCTGAGTAGGGGATATGAAGGGATCGATCTTCACCCACAGCAGCGAGAATATGGAAGCAAGGAGGATGGACCAAACAATGACGATGGTCGGCGTGCGGTTCTGTTTCCCCATGAGACCCTTCAGGAAAGGGTAGAGGTGGAGGATCACCCAGATTGCGAAGAACAGCTTCCCGAATAGTGGACCCCATGATTGGTAGCCACTGTTGATAGCATACGATACTCCAGCCACTATACCAACCAGGTTAATCACAAGCACAGTGGTCGGGGGAATAATAAGGCTTGTCCACTTGAACACATATAGCTCAGCAAAATCACCATCATCATCGGTTGCCTTTGATGTAACCGTGAAGTTTGTGTCGATCCCTGCCAGCACTTTTAAGAGACCTTGGAACACAGCAAAGAGATGCGCAGAGGTGCCACCAATGACCCAAAACTGTTCATTTCTCCACCAGTCCTCAATGCCAACACCACTCCATCGAAGCTCCAAAATACCAGTGGCGAAGATGGAAGCGAAAAGTAGAATGAAGAACGCCCCAGCATAATTGCTAATCTGCAAAATCACAGGAGAAATGAATGTAATCTAGTTGGGATGGAACTACAGGAGAAATAGATGTAATCTAGCAGGGACACTTGTCCAAGAACATATGTGAGAAGTTTCACTGCTTACCAATACTGTGAATGATACTTAGATGCCTACTCCCTCTGTCTCAAAATAAGTGTCATTCTCGCTATTCGAGGAATCAAACGCTTTTAAGAGGAGAAATGAATATAATCTAGTTGGGATGGAACTACAGGAGAAATAGATGTAATCTAGCAGGGACACTTGTCCAAGAACATATGTAAGGTTTCACTGCTTACCAGTACTGTGAATGATACTTAGATGCCTACTCCCTCTGTCTCAAAATAAGTGTCATTCTCGCTATTCGAGGAATCAAACGCTTTTAACTTTAACCAAGTATATATAAGAAAATATTAATATTTAAAGTACATAATTAGTATCATTAGATAGATCATTGAACCTATTTTTATAATGAAGTTATTTGAAGATACAAATGTTGCTAATATTTTCTACAAACCCAGAAAAACTTAAGAAAGTTTGACTGACGCGAATATCATAGCGACACTTATTTTGGGACGGAGGGAGTAGACTGGAAAATTGCAACAGAAAATTTGTCTTATTAATTTACAAATTACAATGCACTGCTATATATTGATTACCGATTAGATTTTAAACTGACTATCACACAAAGAATGCAAGATAATTATGTGTGAGATGCAAGAAAACAAAAGGTTAAGCCTGTGAATACGAAGTCCTCAACCATGAAAAAAAAACTGTAAATAACAGTAGCTTGAGAAAGCGGTATGCATCCCTCAATAACTCCCTCAAAATAACACCCACAAGCAAACACAACGGTATATATAATGGGGGCTTTAAATGAATCTGGGGAACTTACCTCAGGAATAATAAATTTGTTGGTGAGTAAACAGATAGCAGGAAGGACACAGTAGGCTATTAGTGGGATAGATGTAATTGGATAAACAATGGTGTTGATGTATGCCAGTCTCTCCAGAAGCTTTAGCCTTCCATTGTAACCATACCAGATAGGACAGTGTCTGCTCAGTAGAATTTCAACTGAACCAAGAGCCCAGCGTAGCACTTGGTTGAGACGATCAGAAAGGTTAATTGGAGCAGAACCCTTGAAGCAAGGCCGAAGTGGCATGCAGTAGATGGATATCCAACCTCTTGCATGCATCTTGAAACCAGTTAAAATATCTTCAGTAACAGAACCATATATCCATCCGATCTGAAAGAATACAAGATCAAAGGGAAAATATCTTTCATGGTCATAAAAATTTGGTAAGCACTGCTATGCAAACGACATGGTTGTTCGACTCTTTATATTCTATCAATCACATTCACATGAATCAATATCCGCAACTAATGACCTGTACAGCTTCCTCAGTTGGACATAGGTCGGATGTGTGGGCCAAATGTATAGCCATTCTCATTAGTGTTTTAGTTAATAGATCAACTGGAAAAACCTAAGAACTATTTGAAGGGCAGTAAAGGAACTCTGCTTTACTCACTGACCTCTTTTCCCCATTCTGTCTTGTCCTCATATCCACAACTAATGACATGTATAGCTTCCTTTAGCAGGGAAGCTGGGTTTGTTGAAGGGGGTATGCCACCTTGAGTCATAAAGGTGGATGCAATAAAAATTGGCGACTGGCCAAAGCGTTTCTCCAAGCTCTTCTGGGACATAAGCAGTGACCTTTCATCCTCGTAACCTGGTGGGATTTCACAATTCACATTAGTACAAGCTAACATATTTTAGCACCACAATAACTTCAGTATCAGAACTAGATTTGCATTTAATAAGCAAGATTAAATGTCTAGCAGCATGAACAGACCTTCAAATCCCTCTTCTATATCTTCCATGTTGAAGATGGGAGCCGAAGATTCTGTTCTCTTCATATCACGGTTTTTGGAATCAATATAGCTCTTGTCCTTCTTTTTTCTGCCGCCACAGCAACTTTTAATGATAATGTTAGGCTCCAAATCAGCTTCTGTCAATACAGGATCATAACCATACAAGGCCTGCCTATTGAAACAGCATCCTGTTCCCACATAAACAGGTCCTTGAATGCCATCTAAACCCTTCATATTAATCTGCACAGAGAAAACCATGTAAGAAACATGAAATACTTGCAAATTTGGTCAGCAAAAGAGCTACCATACTTACATCAAAGAAGACAATGTTCCGGTTTGCATAACGATCATGCGAGTCTATACCATCAAATCTTTGTGGAAACTGAACATAGCAAGTTTTCCTTCCTAGTGCTGGATCCATCATGAAACACATAGCCTCTCTAAGAGCTTTGCTGCTATTGAAGTAGTGATCACAATCCACATTAAGAAGATAAGCACCATTTGTCAGGACAGCTGATACGCGTATCTGTTCATTAGTAAAGAGACAGATCATAAAGCAATGAACAAACCAAATTGACATTCGTAGAGCTGAATAATTATGTGAAAAATATACCAAAGCATTCATGGCACCAGCCTTTTTGTGGTGCTGGAAGCCTGGCCTCTTTTCACGAGAAACATAAACAAGCCGTGGCAACTCATTTCCATCAGTGTCAAGCCCACCACTGTGGCCCAAGAATACCTAACATAAAAAAGAAGAGTGGAATACATGAGGGCAAGATCTATAACAAACTAAACATCTGACGGTATGTCCATTTTAGAGATATTAAGAAAAATAAACCTGGATCATTCCTGGATGATCTCTTGGGTTATTCCCAGGCCAAGGAGTACCATCAGCCATGGTCCAGCCCTCCTCAGGTATTTTTTGCGCTTTTGCTACAAGGGCATTGATCCGTACTTTGAACTCTTCATACTCCCTCTGTCAGAAAACACCTCATGTGATCAAAGTCACCCATTTGTAGAATAAGTAATCTGACTATTTGCTACCTTATCTTACCTTCATAGCCCGCCTTTCTTTCACAAAAGAAGGTTGTATTTTGTCCTTTAGGTAATCTATCTTTTGAGCAAAGTAAAACTCTGGAGCCCTAGGTTCAATGTTGTGTTTCTTGCAAAAGGGAACCCATTTCCTTGCAAACTCTGCAGTTTCAGATAGCGATTCAAAAGTCAACATAGCTGAACCGTCATCAGAAACATAGCATGATACTTTGTCAACAGGGTAATCCACAGCAAGAATGGACAGGACAGTGTTGGCAGTAATTAGAGGAGGTTCCTTGAGTGGATCCACTGTACTGACAAAGACATCAATTGGAGCCAACTGAGATGGCTCACCCTCCCTATCGTACCTTCAAAGTCAAACCAAAAATCTCAGCATGAAACGTAAGAACACTAGAATACTAGATAACAAGTGATGCATTGGCAACATCCTGTAGTAAAGCATCAAGACGTGCAACTTGCCTCAATGCAAGTCTATCGAGGTAAGTTTCCCGGTTGATAGGATACCACTTTGGGAACTGATCTAGAAGCCAAGACAAGGCAAACCAAACTTCACAAATAACAGATACAAGCCACAATCCATAAGCATCGTTCACTGGATGAGTTATACGATACTGAAAGAAGAAACATAGGATGATAAGCCGGAGAACAATCACGATTCGATAAAGGTTAAGCTCGTTTGGAGATATAGGCACTATGCGACTTAGAGGTAGCCGTGCATCATCAGCCCTGCAGAAGAGCAATAAATGTAAGGAAATCAACAGCATTAGCTGAAACAGGACAACAGTAAGCATTCCACTATTAAAAAACAGAAGTGGCAAGAATATCATCATATTTCTAGTCAGCTCTGAAAGCTACAGCTAAATAGGCATAAGTTATTAATGCATAGAAAAACTAGGCGTATAGCAAAACTATCCGCTAGTAGTTAAGTCTTAGGACCATACATTTGTAGATCTTCACCATTTGAGCCAGTCCCTTCAATATCCCCTTTCCCTTCCACTGGATATTTATGAGTCACCTGTATCATATTTTTGTCCTGTCTAACTTTCCAGCTCTCGACCCTTTCTTTCCAGTCAACACTTCCAACTCCATAAGAATTCAAATCCTTTGAGGGGTCCACAATCCTCACAGGTACTGACATCATGGAAACAAATGAGTGTATTCTAGTAAATCTGCAGGGGAACTGATTACCAACACAACTATATATAGCACGGTAGCACACCTGGAATGCTTGGATCAACATAACTTGGTGTTGGGCTGCGAATAGAATGGCGATCAGGAGATGCATCAGGTATATCTCCGGACATCTGAAAACAGTTGACAATGTTTAAGGGCAGAACAAAGCAAAATATTCTTATAGAAGCAGTATTCGTCGAGCGTAATTATTGTTATACACTGGATGTTTGAGTGCAAAACACTTGCAGAGGCTGGAATAAAATTGCTTTATCTAAAAAAATTATTGTCATACAATTATCTGGCAACAGGTAAGGGCACCCAGCCACCCATTTCTTGTATATGGACTTACAGCCTGTTCGTTTTGGCTGGATTGGCTTATAAGCCATGGGCTGAAAGTACTGCTGCCTGGTTTGGTGTGAGAGGAAAACACTGTTGGCTGGCTGATAAGCCAAGCCAGATACAGGCAGTTACAGGCTGCCGAACAGGCTGTTAATCATCTAAAATCAGGAAGCAACCAAGAACACTGGACTACAACTCCACCAGTGAGCCAGTGACTCAGTTGGCTCCATTCAAGCTTCACACTACAGGGCTAAAGCGGAAGAACAGTGTTCGACAGTGCAAATTAATTGCTAATAAGGTTACAGGACCAAAAGCTCAGTAAGGATCTGTCTGTCATCATATAGTGGCCTTATGTATGTTATACCTGCTGCCCAGTTGTCAGACGTGGAATTCTGTGATGGGGTTCATGTCGAGAAGACGAAGAGAGATCAACATCTTCCCCTTGTCCCCGCAGCTGCCACTGAGGACCTTGGACATTGCCTTGTGTATAGTTGAATTCGTTGTCCAAATCATCAACTCCATCCTCCTCCTCATCTCCGCGAACTCGAGGGCTTCCTAAATTTGAACATGAAGATGTTAAAGACCACAGGGTGATGATGTGCATAATTCATTTTCCTTTAGAAAGTTAAAACAGATGTGTTTGCAACATCAAGTAACAGATTTCATCAAGCAGTTTGAACTAGTGAAGCAATGAGTACGCTCAGTGTGTCCCATGAGGAACAGACCTTTGTGCCTCTTGTATCTAGTCTTGCATTGAGGGCAGCACTGATTCCCCTCCTTACGCTCATACTCATAGCACGGCCGACACACTGGGAAGGCACATTCATTGCATGCAACAAAGACATCGCCTGTTGCTGAGAGCCCGACAGTGTCACCGCAGATTTGACATATTTGTTCATTCACGTTCTTCAACTGCTTAGCCTGCACCAACAACGTTGATGTAGGTGAGATTGTGACAGCAACACCCCCCAATCAGAGGTATTATATAAAAATATTATAAAATCGAACAAGACGCAACAAATTTCCCTCGTGGCCAGCCGAGTTAAGAGATATGGATACATTAATTAAGACCAAGGCTTGACGCATTAGCAGGTGAATAGATTATTAGTATCAACAGACTGGAGGATTCGAACTGTTCCTACAAAGTTCAGACGATAAACCCAGACGAGTTGGACAATCCATCTCAACCAAATCCCCTCTGCATTTCTCAACACCACCGTCGCGAACAGGTGGCGAGGGGAACAGTGAAACCAATCGACTCGCCACTCGACCAGCACGCCGCACCGAACCCACCCCCCCCCCCCCCCCCGCACACACACCACACACCCCGACGCAGACGCAACCAAAACCTAGGCATCCCACACAACGACCGCACGGGCCGCCAATCGGACGCGGAGCCGACGCAATCTGTCCGGCGGCGCACGGCCGCCCGGCAGATCGACGGGGTCCCCCGCGCAAATCGAAACGCGACGGGACAAAGCGGAGTCAGAGCGCGAGGAGAGCACGGAAGAGCGGGGGGAAAGGAACGCACCGCGGCGCCGTCGCCGTCGTGCCGGATAGTGACGACCCCGCCGCGGGAGCCAGCCACCATCCCCCGGTTCGCCTCCATCTTCGACGCCAATGCCGCGCCGCCGCCGCTATCCGCCTCCTCAGCCCCGCAGCCCGCTCGCGTCTCTTACGCAGCACGCATCCCGACGCGAGTGCGCATTAGCCGGTGGTGAGTGTCCCGACTGTTAGTGCTCTCGCTATCGTGTGGCGTCCCCCGCACGAGTCGCCTTCTGCCGCGTCCCGTGGGCTAGCGCGGTGAGCTGTGACGCGCTCTGCGCCGTCGGATGGGAGGTGGGGTGGGTGTGGCCGCCGTCAGCACGTCACCGTGCCACAGACTGTTGCTCCTCGCCGTGTGCAACGGCCTGTAGCCAAGCCAGTGGAGCTGTGGAGGCACAGGCAGTCGCAGCACCGTTACGGCAGGTTGAGCTGTCGCTGCCTCGGCTCGTGGACCGTTACTTCGTTACTTGTTGGTGGACCGAAATACCCTCCGCGCGCCTCTTGTTTCTCGCAGGGAGGGATTTTAAGGTTACGCATAGAAATAAAAGTTTAGGGGTAAATTTACTTGTTCCGTAGTAGCAAAACTACACATTTATAGCAAATGGTACAATATGAGATTCAAATCATCAGTAATTGCACTAAACCACCTGCATGGCGTGCTAGAGTTGATGACATCGTCCTGACACGTGACATCGATGAGTAAATTTCATTAGTGATCAAGAACTTGTCTTACATTCTCCAATTCCTATTACTCTCAAAGTTACTTATGACACTCTAGATTCTCTAACTATACCATGTGATATATAAATCTCTACAACTTGCGTTCAATTACCTTTCGTGTGCCATGCTAGTTATGTGATAACATGACCCTTGATATGTGGGGCCGACATATCGCTCTCATCTCATGCCAACAGATCTCTCTCTCATCCCTATTCCCCATAGTAGATGTCTTCTCTCGTAGCCCCTTCACCTTTGGAAGCCCAATGGAGTGTCTCGTGGAAGTCCTTCTAGGTACACTAAGATCTAAAACGACGTCGAGATATGCATATACCAATAATGATGACTTTAATGTCACCGCCCTTTCTAGATTTGGCATGCCTTCTGATGAGTCTAACCAGCTCGCAGAGGGAAAGAAAAAACAAGAGAAGAGAGACGGAGCTAACAGTAAGCCCCCACACATTGAGGTTGTTGTTATCGCACGATTAGCATGCCACACAAGCGGTTGGTGTCATACAACTATCAAAGTTTAGGATGTCAAAAGTGAATTTTGAGAGTACACAGACTTATGCCCTGTTCGCTTCGCTTATAATCTGTTAGCATGTTCGCTTGTTGGTTTCAGCCAGCCCAAACCAGCCAGCCAACAGTGTTTTTCTCTCCCAACAATCCAACACCAGCCAGCCCAAACCAGTCCAGAAACCAACCAGCGAACAGGCCATGTACTTTTTCAGCAAACGAACAGTATTTTTCTTTCACAACAAATCAACCAGTAGTACTTTCAGTCATAACTTATCAGTTAAACGAACAGGGCGCAATCGCTAGTCCTCGTTTGGACTTCATCAACAGTTGAACTTATTTTAACCTCCTGTTCGGCAGGACTGAAAAATACTGTTCCGGCTAATTATTGTGAGAAAAAAATACTTGGCAGGGCGTGAACAGCGACATATGCATGCGCTAGCCGTCCGTGCCACGATGCCATTTTTCGTCTTCTTTCCGAATAAAGTACTGCCATTTTTCCACCGGTTCCTTGACGCCCAATTCTCTTTGCCGTCGCTGTCGAGTCGACTAGTGGCAAAAATAAGGGCGCGTTTAGTTTAAAAAATTTTGGTTTTTCTCGTCACATCGAATTTTTGGACGTATGCATAGAGCATTAAATATAGACGAAAAAAAATTAATTACACAGTTGGGTGAGAAACCGCGAGACGAAACTTTCGAACCTAATTAGTTCATAATTAGACACTAATTATCAAATACAAATGAAAGTGTTACGGTAGTCAAACCCAAAAAATTACGTGAACTAAACGTGCCCTAAGGCACACCCACGCAGTAAGGAGTAAGCACTCAAGCTAGCTAGCTAGGCATGTTTGTTGGGCTCTTAGTTAATTATTGTTAGGTTGTTCACTGTAGGACTTGTTAGTCCTCGACTTAGAACAGTTCGGGCTTTTCCAAAACTAATTTGGATAAATAGTGTTATTCTTTCGTCTTTGTTGGTTTTTTCGTAGGACTTGTCTTTCTAGTTTAGTTATCAACCCATGGGTGTTTTAATTTTCCTAACTTTATTTCAGAACTAACAGTGATTTTTTTTTTGGTGGTAGGCGATGTGTTCTTTAATTCATTAATTGTTAGGTTGTTCATTGTAGGGCTTGTTAGTCATCAACTTAGAACGAGTGTTCGTGCTTTTTAAAATTTATTTTAGGATTAATAGTGCTATTATTTCTTCTTTGTTAGTATTTTCATAAGACTTGTCTTTCTGGATTAGTCTTCAACCTTGTAAGGGTGTTTGGATTTTTTTTCTAAATTATTTTAAGAATAACAGTGATATACTCTTTGTGGTGACTTTGCTAATTTTAAGATCTCCTAGCTTAGTTTCTCAAATGTGCTTAGAGAAATATAGTTGGCCGTTAAATACGTATAGAATCTTGTTCCCCTGCTAAATTTAACTATGACCTTCAAAGATTTGGTCTAATTTCATTTATACTTGCCCCAATCATGCAAAGAGAGGGAGAAAATCAATAATCTAAAATTAATCATGTAATCTACCACTAAACCTGCAAAACGATGTTAGGGTTAACATGTACATAAAAATAAGCCTACAACTAGAACTTTTTGTAGGCGAAGAACAACTTAAATATAACATATTTCACTTAAAAAATAATTAATTAAAAGTCATAATTGCTAATATAGAAGGGTACAAAGAATCAGAATCGATCACGTGAAACCAGCTAACAACTGTTTCTCTAGACATAATTAAAAATAAGAAACGTTTCTAGTGATTCTCGAGCGAAACATTTCTCATTTAACCCGTTTGGTAGTGATTTTACTGATTTTTTTAAGAATAAAAACATCTGTGCTTGTCAAACGGGGCCTAAATAGCTTGGCTTGGTTCATTTGTATTTGAGACCAAACTGTCCCCAAACTTCTCGCCAGTCACCAGTACTAGTCAAGGTCGACGTCAATCACCATTCGCCAAATAATCGATCGCAATTCGCAAGAAGACCGACGGACAACAGATTTTGTCGTTGACTCCGTGGTGGTTCGATAGTCACCGGTTTAATCTGCTAACAAATTACTCCCTCCGATCCGTTTTATCTGACGCACACGTATATCAAGATTTAAAATTTAAAAATTTTAATCAATAATTAGACTAATAATTTTTAACTATTATAATATAAACTTTATATGATTAGATTTGTAAGGAATTATGCTATCCAATAATTATAAGTTTATAAGCTAAAGTAATATAATTTAAAGCAAATGAATATTCAAAGTATAATCTAGGAGAGTCATTCTAACTTGCACCCGATAAAATGGCCGAAGGAAGTATACTGTATGTGCATAATTAATTTCATTCAGCAGTGTGTTGCGTTTGACGTTTCCTATGCGCGCGATCCACGTGATCGTACTAGGTCGCATCGCCAACAGAAGAAAAAAGACACATCTGCTAACCTCGTTGTGTGGGCTTAAATTATTAATTCCCCGTTTACTTTACTTTGTGTGGGCTTAAGCTAATCATCTCGTGCGCCAACTATATATATGCATCTGTTCATTCGTTTAGGCCCCGTTTAGATAAAAAAAATTTGGATTTTGGTTCACTGTAGCATTTCGTTTGTATTTGATAATTAGTGTCTAATTATGGACTAATTAGGTTTAAAAGTTTCGTCTCGCGATTTCTCACCCAACTGTGCAATTAGTTTTTTTTCGTCTACATTTAGTACTCTGTCGCAAGATTCGATGTGACGAGTTACTATGCAAAATTTTTTGGAATCTAAACAGGCCCTTAGTTAATTTTTAGTACCTGTCGTCGTCTGCAACTAAAACAATTTCGTCGCTATCTGAGGCAAAGGACTTTCGCCACATTGCCTCGCCTCACCCAAATGGCGTAGGCGCCGAGATCCTTGCTAACCCAGGAGAGCCGATTTGGCTCTCTCACGGCAGCAAAGGAAATCTCGCTAGCGTGGGAATTGAGATAGGCTTGCCAGAGTTCCAAACGTGCTGCCAGTTTTGATTTCTAACTCGACGAGGATATACAATACTCGGCAAGGGATCCAAACACGCCCAAAGTGTACAGTAGCACTACTAGTACATAGTATGATACGTTTTTATATAGTATAACATAGGTGTATGTACGAGGAAACGGTCAGCATGAACGTGAGTGCTTGCGTCTTCGCGGCCGGAGGTTCCGTTATGGTACCAAGGTATAAGTGGGCCTAGCTGACACTAAACGGAGCAAAACGATGCCACATTAACCATCATCGATCGTGAGCAATAGCATTCGTCGACAATCTTTGCCGCTATCGTCGATCGCCTCAAAACACGTACGACAGAGACGAGAGACAAGCCTTGTCCAAAGAATCAAGTAGTCACAGGTCAACTAGACTCTTGCTCGAACTCCACCGTGGGCGGAGGTCTAGTGGTAGATCGACTAGATGTCACGGAGGCTAAGGTCCTGTCTACAGTATGTTCGGTTGGTCGTGTTTAGTTTATAAGTTATGACTGAAAGTATTGTTGGCTAATTTGGTATAAGATAAAAATACTGTTCGTTGACTGAAAACAAGCTAAAACAAGCCAAACAAATCCAAACGAACGGGGGTTAGTTCCATGATTCTGGCCAGATCTGGCCCATAGTGTCGGAGTGTTGCATTTGGCTTCCTGACCTGGCTTCTAGAAAAAGGATTTTGATTCCGTTTCTTGTGAGCCTGGCTCGTGAGCGTGTGCACGTTGTCTTTGCTGGGTAAAAGCGAGCACAACGAGTGGTTAACTAAACAGCTGTTCTTTAAATCCTAGCGCAACAGAGCAAAGCAACCAAACTTGTATGGCCACAGCCCGGCTAGCGCCGGTCTGACTTTCTAAACTCCAGATGCAGTGCATGCTACTACTAGCTAAGAAGCAAATCAAACATGTCCTTACAGAAGATGCACCGGCTTCATTAGGGAGAGTATCAAAAAGCATTCCGTTGTAGGGAGTGAATGGAGAGCGGAAAAATAACCATGTACTACATGCAGGCACACTCAATTGAACACGAGGCGGCAAATCTTAAGATCGTTTTATATGTGTCGGGGAAACGTAGATCTAAAAGTACTCTAGATAGGTTCACTGTTAAAAAAAATCTACAGAGGCCAACTACATTTCATATTGCATATATTATCCTACCTCTACCTTAGCCATCATTGAAACATGCACGCACGCACCACATCCAGAGCACGCAAAAGGTTCTAACGGTAGCACAAAAGGTGTACTTTCTCTCGACGATGCGCCGGCCGTTTTATATTCGGCCTGTTTAATAAATGTCGCTAGCCATTTCCATTTTGAATCACCTCGTCACGACGAATCTGATTCCGTTTTCACGCAAAAAATACATAATCCTGCAGATTACGTACTCATAGGGTAGGAACTAGCGGGCTGTTTGGTTCTATCGACAGTAACGCAAACGCAAGCAATTTAAAGTTGCAGACCTTACCGGCGTGAAATGCATATGGACTAATTTTATTTACGTTTACGTAACAACCAAACACTGTGTAGGATTTTAAGTGAGTACTCTATAGGTTTCAAACAAAGCTAAACCGGCCAATAGACAAAGTATAGTATCAGGTAATCGCCACTGCTAGTTAAAAAATCCAAATTAAAATCCTTAATGACGAAAGTGAGCGAGACCTATAGCCTCACCGGTGACCCTAGATATGCGCCAGAAAGCTAGGCATCTACTATCTTGGCCCCAAAGGATATCTGTCCAAGTTTTAAATAGTATCAATATACATAACTTTGCTACTATAAAAATTAGTATATTTTATTAAGACTAATGTAATAATGGTATATATTATAGTAAATAAATATTAGTATTTTATATAAATCTGGTTGAATTTAAGATCAATTGACTTAGAACTAGTTTGGATACCATAGACTAACTTTAGCCATTTAATTTTAATACTCCCTCCAGGTTGCTAAAAGAAGTCGTTTTGGATAGCGACACGGTCTCCAAAGCATAACTTTGACTTCTTATTTTTATAAAAATATTTATTGAAAAATGATATATGTATATTTTTATGAAAGTATTTTTTAAGACAAATCTATTCATATGGTTTTCACATTTCCAAACTCAACAACTTAAAAGTTATCAATGATTTATATTCTCAATGTTTGACCCAAACCTTGTCCAAAACAACATGAATTATCAGTATGGAGGGAGTACTAGATATCCGAACAGGTTGACTAAAAGTGAACTAATCTTTTTTTTTGTTCCTAACTAGCAATTAGTTCATTAGTTGGCTAATGCAGACTATATAAATCTTTGTTAAAAAAAAACTACTTTCTTTTAGTCATGTATCTAAACAACACTGAACTAAATTTTAGCAACCTAAATTCTATAGTCAAAACTAAATTTTTGTCTACCTAAACTTTAGTTCTAAATATTAAATAGGCCCTTAACAAATTGTACCTTTTTGAGAGTATCTCTCAATCCTTAGATTTTTTTCTGATCTTCAGAGTCCCGCTGCATCGGCTTTCGGCAGCCAGCCGATCCAGAGGAAATGCAAGGCACCTATACGGAATCCTACAAGATGATGATTTTTGGACCGAAAAGCGTAAACCGAGCCCTCCACTACTACTACGTACTCAAAACTAGCCAGAGAAAGAAAATGCTGACACGGAGGGCACTACCACTCAAAACTAGCCATAGAAGCAAAGTTGCAATATATGCGACCATTCTGAATATAGCTTTGCTATTGGCCTTGCCTCCTTTTTTGAATTCAAGTCAGTTTCGCCAGCGACTGGTTTTATCTTTTGACGTGTGCAGCATTATCCCAATTTTGAAGGTGAGATCTTCGATCGTCATCAAATTTTGAAGCTCCCGTCATCCCGTATGCATATATTCTGTCATCTATATATTACTTGTCCCGTCATGCACTAATCTCAACGCACTTCTCCGATTTCGTCATTAAAGCAAAGTTACCAAAATGATGGTAACTCGTGTCTTGGTGAACAGTGCCTTACCATTGAATAATGTTGGTATGCTAATTGTGTGTTAACCCATGAGTTCGGTACTAGGTGACACTATTTTTGCGTAAGTTCAAAGATTCAAGGGCGGTACTACACTATGTATGTGCATGCCTCTTTCTTTCTGCCCGCACGCCTCCTCACCTTATCTTCTTTCTCACCTCACACGCATCTTCTTCTTCTTCTTCCTCCCGTGCTTCCCCGCTGCCTCCTCATCCTCACCTTGCTTAGCTCCGACGACGCTGCCCTCAACCCCCTCCAGATCCGGCGTGAGGCCCCCCGCCTCCACCACCCAGCCGACCACCGCCTGCCGTGGGCGGTAGAGTCTCATCGGAGCTCCGACGAGACCCTACCGCTCGTGGCGACCTCCTCCTTCCCCTCTTCCCCGCCCTCTCGCATGCGGCCATGGCGACCTCCGATGAACTCTGACGAACTCCGGCCATAGCGCCCCTGCCCCTGACCTGGATCGTCATCAAAATTCGAGAGTTAGAGATTCAAGTGACACCATAGTACAAGTTGATTAACTTGGATACTCATATGAGACGGACATGTAAATTATTGCAACAATGTCACTATGCTGGTTTTACTGTACATCCATTCACATGAGCTCTGATCTATCCACTTGGGAACGACCGACCGAAATTCATTATTCATCCAAAGTCACGTTACAGTGTTTCTCCGATTTTGCTTGAGGAATCCACGGCGCAGCTTCTCTCAACTGCCCGCTCGGCCAATGCGCTCTCCTTTATTTTTGGAGAAGCGCGCAAAAGATCTCTCCGCCCGGCCGCCCGGGAGACGACGAGCAGCGACAAATCCGCAAGCCCTCGAGAATAACCACCTTCCCATCCTGGAGTAATAATCTTCTTCTAAACAAACAAAACGCATCGTCCTGCGTCATTAGGAAATCAGCACCGAGAGATCCCGTAATCCTTTCTTACCGCACTCCTTTAACCCTTCTCTCCGCCGTAAAAAATAGTTAGCAGTCCAACCGGGCCACGTCGCCACGCCGTAAAAAGTTACTCCTACTGCCCACCGCCGTCGCGGTCCGGCAGCGAAACACGGCACGCGCGCCGTTCGATTCTTCCCCGCGGGTGGGGTGTGGGTGCGGGGGGACTGACTGGGGAGGGAGGGGGACGGTTCCTTGGACTTCAAGGAGCCCAGAGGCGCGCGCGGCAGCCGTCTTTGACCGCCACCGCGGGGCGTCGCCGTGAGGAGGGCCCGGGGCCGTTGACGCCCGCGGCGACGTCTCGCCTATATAAACCCACTCCCGCCCTCCGCCTCACTCATCCCAACCACTCGTCGCCAGATGCCAGTGTCCACGGCCGCGCCGCCTTACGCGGCGCCCGCGATGGCGGCGACGCCGGCGGGCGAGGGCCCACTCCTCTACTTCTTCTTCTCCCTGGAGCCGCTCGTCCTCCACGGCGTGGACGCCGCGGTCCACGTCCTCCTCGCGCTCGCCGTCGCGGGGCGGTTTCTGTTCCGCTGCTGCGGCCTCTCCGTCGCCAAGGACGGGGAGGCGCGTGGAGGCGGACCCCGCGGCGGAGGCCGGTTCCGGTGCCACGGGGTCGCGGCCTGCGCCACGTGGGCCCTGGCGGCGGCCGAGGTCCTGCTCGCGGCCTACTCGTGCTACCTGGTTGCCACCTCCGGCTCCGGGTGGTCGCGTGACGCGGTGGTGGGCCTCGTGGACGCGGCCGCGCGCGCGGTGGCGTGGCTGCTGCTCGCCGCGTACCTGCAGTTCGACTTCGGGCGGCGGCGCGAGGAGCGGTTCCCGGCGCCGCTCAGGCTCTGGTGGGCGTTCTTCCTGCTGCTGTCCATCCTGGCCGTCGCCGACCACGTGGCGACGAGCCTCGACGGGCTCCTGGTGCCGGCGCTCGCGTGGGTGTTCGACGCCGTCTCGGTTGCTGCTGCCGTGGTCCTGCTCTGCGCTGGGTTCGTAGGCAGGAGGGAGGGAGGCGGCTCTGCTGCCGAGGAGCCTCTGCTCAACGGCGCGCATGAGACGGCGGACGGTAACAGCCGCAGCGACGCCGAGGCGTCCAGGTTCACCGGCGCCGGTTTCTTCAGCGTGCTCACCTTCTCGTGGATGGGCCCCCTCCTCGCCGTCGGCCACAAGAAGACCCTCGGCCTGGACGACGTCCCGGGGCTCGACCCCGGTGACAGCGTCTCCAGCCTGCTCCCGACGTTCAAGGCCAACCTCGAGGAGCTGGCGGGCGGCGTCTCCGGCTCCGGCCGGAAGGCCGTCACGGCGTTCAAGCTCACTAAGGCCCTGTTGCGCACCGTGTGGTGGCACGTCGCGGTGACCGCGTTCTACGCGCTGGTCTATAACGTCGCCACCTACGTTGGCCCGTACCTCATCGACTCCCTGGTGCAGTACCTCAACGGCGACGAGAGGTACGCGAGCAAGGGGCAGCTCCTTGTCCTCGCGTTCATTGTCGCCAAGGTATTCGAGTGCCTGTCGCAGCGCCACTGGTTCTTCCGGCTGCAGCAGGCGGGGATACGCGCTCGTTCCGCGCTTGTTGCCGTCGTGTACCAGAAGGGCCTCGCGCTGTCAAGCCAGTCGAGGCAGAGCCGCACGAGCGGCGAGATGATCAACATCATCAGCGTCGACGCCGACCGCGTCGGGATCTTCTCATGGTACATGCACGACCTCTGGCTGGTGCCGTTGCAAGTGGGCATGGCGCTGTTCATCCTGTACTCTACCCTCGGGCTCGCTTCCCTCGCCGCACTTGGAGCCACCGTGGTCGTCATGCTTGCCAATGTGCCTCCTGGGCGAATGCAGGAGAAGTTCCAGCAGAAGCTCATGGACTGCAAGGATGTCAGGATGAAGGCAACGTCTGAGATCCTGCGCAACATGCGGATTCTGAAGCTGCAGGGGTGGGAAATGAAGTTCTTGTCCAAGATCATTGAGTTGAGGAAGACAGAGACAAATTGGCTGAAGAAATACCTCTACACATCGACTTTGGTTACCTTTGTGTTCTGGGGGGCCCCGACTTTCGTTGCTGTGGTGACCTTTGGGGCGTGCATGCTCATGGGGATTCCATTGGAGTCAGGGAAAGTGCTTTCTGCTTTGGCCACGTTCCGCGTGCTGCAGGAGCCAATATACAACCTTCCTGACACGATCTCAATGGTGATCCAGACCAAGGTGTCTCTGGACAGGATAGCATCATTCCTATGTCTTGAGGAATTGCCGACTGATGCTGTGCAGAGGTTGCCAAATGGTAGTTCAGATGTTGCAATTGAGGTCACCAACGGGTGCTTCTCCTGGGATGCCTCACCGGAATTGCCAACGCTGAAGGACCTGAACTTCCAAGCTCAGCAAGGCATGCGTGTTGCAGTTTGTGGGACAGTGGGCTCTGGTAAATCGAGCTTGCTATCTTGCATTCTTGGTGAGATCCCAAAGTTGTCAGGAGAGGTTAAGATTTGCGGGATGACGGCTTATGTCAGCCAGTCAGCATGGATACAGAGTGGCAAAATCCAGGACAACATATTGTTTGGCAAGGAGATGGACATGGACAAATATGAAAGAGTCCTTGAGTCGTGTTCACTGAAGAAAGACTTGGAGATCTTGCCATTCGGTGACCAAACTGTCATCGGAGAGCGAGGGATCAACCTGAGTGGTGGGCAGAAGCAAAGGATTCAGATAGCCCGCGCTTTGTATCAGGAAGCAGACATCTATTTGTTCGATGACCCATTCAGTGCTGTTGATGCTCATACAGGGTCCCACCTTTTCAAGGTACACAATTTGTTATGCTTAAGCTTAACCTTTTATGTTCAGTAGAAGTTTCAAACACTGGTGCCTGCTTATTTTTGCAGGAATGCTTGCTCGGGGCTCTGTCTTCAAAAACAGTAGTTTATGTTACTCATCAGATTGAATTCCTACCGGCAGCTGACCTTATTTTGGTGAGAATTTCATTGGTAAAACTTCCATCCATTATTCATTGCAATAAAACGGATGCCTCTCCTTACTAGGACTGTGTTATAGGTGATGAAAGATGGCAAAATAGCACAAGCAGGAAAATACAATGAAATACTTGGTTCAGGAAAAGAGTTCATGGAGCTAGTTGGTGCACACAAGGATGCACTCGCAGAATTGGACACAATCGATGCTGCAAACGTAAGCAACGAGGGATCCCCTTCCAGAGGTACAGCAAAACTGACCAGAGCTTTATCGTCAGCTGAGAAGAAAGATAAACAGGACGAAGGGAACAATCAGAGTGGACAGCTGGTGCAGGAAGAAGAAAGAGAGAAAGGCAAGGTTGGGTTTTGGGTCTACTGGAAGTACCTCACCTTAGCTTATAAGGGTGCACTTGTACCGTTAGTGTTGCTTGGACAGCTACTTTTCCAAGTCTTACAAATTGGGAGCAATTACTGGATGGCTTGGGCTGCTCCCGTCTCAAAGGACGTTGAGCCTCCAGTGAGCATGTCAACACTGATATATGTCTATATCGCATTGGCTGTTGGAAGCTCGTTGTGCGTCCTCTTAAGAGCTTTGTTTCTTGTAACAGCCTCATACAAGACAGCGACTCTATTATTCGACAAGATGCACATGTCCATATTTAGAGCTCCTATGTCTTTCTTCGATTCCACTCCGAGTGGGCGCATCTTGAACAGAGTAAGTCATCTTCATGTGAACAATTTCGCAAGTTCTACTTATTTTCTTGGACTATGCTAACAGATGCTTCAAACTTTTCAGGCTTCCACTGATCAGAGCGAAGTGGACACCAGCATTGCATACCAGATGGGTTCTGTTGCATTTGCTGTCATACAACTTGTTGGAATCATTGCTGTGATGTCTCAGGTTGCATGGCAGGTGTTTGTTGTTTTCATTCCTGTAGTTGCTACCTGTTTCTGGTATCAGGTACGATTGGCCACCCGTATCCCCTTCATCATAGATCTAGTCATAGGTATCTAATTGACCTGCCTTTTTTTGCAGCGATACTACATTGATACAGCCAGGGAGCTGCAAAGGCTAGTAGGTGTTTGCAAAGCTCCTATCATACAGCATTTTGCAGAATCAATAACAGGATCAACCACCATCAGAAGTTTTGGCAAGGAAAATCAGTTTGTATCGGCAAATAGCCATCTAATGGATGCCTACTCCAGACCGAAATTCTACAATGCTGGAGCGATGGAATGGCTTTGCTTTCGCCTGGATGTGCTGTCATCTCTTACATTTGCATTCTCTTTAATATTCTTGATCAATCTACCCCACGGGTTTCATCGATCCAGGTATCACATCAGTTTTGAACAGTTTTTGTTGTTCCACTCAATTGTTTGTTAATAAAATGGTCTGAGTTGAAGAGAGCTTGTAACTAACATTACATCCTACTTTCAGGAATTGCTGGTCTTGCAGTCACATATGGGCTTAACCTGAACATGCTGCAAGCATGGGTTGTCTGGAGCATGTGCACTTTGGAGAACAAGATTATATCAGTAGAGAGAATTCTGCAATATATAAGCATTCCTGCAGAGCCACCTCTTTCCATGTCAGAAGATAAGCTGGCTCATAACTGGCCATCCGAAGGAGAAATTCAGCTCCACGACCTCCATGTAAATCCCTTTTTCCTGCATTGCAATGTTGTTCTGAAGAAGCTGCATGATTCCTCATTGTTATTGAACTGACATAAATCAAGTCTGGTAAAAAGACAGCGAAAGAACTATTTTAGGTGCAATGTGCCCTTAACTTCTAGTTTGATGCAGGTGAAATATGCCCCTGCAGTTGCCATTTGTTCTGAAGGGACTTACAGTCACCTTCCTGGAGGCCTGAAGACCGGTATTGTTGGAAGAACAGGAAGCGGCAAATCCACCCTTATACAGGCTCTTTTCCGTATCGTGGACCCAACTATTGGCCAGATACTAATAGACAGTGTCAACATTTGCACTATTGGTCTGCACGATCTGAGATCTAGACTGAGCATCATTCCACAAGAGCCAACCATGTTCGAGGGGACTGTGAGAAGTAACCTTGACCCTCTTGGGGAGTACACTGACAGTCAAATCTGGGAGGTAATTTCACCTTTCATATGCTCAAGGCTTGCCATTTGTTACATTACACTCTCACATAACAATTTTAGCTAAGTTGCAGCATCCATCTGTTACTCTTGATTCCAGGCCTTGGATTGCTGTCAGTTAGGTGATGAGGTGAGGAGGAAGGAACACAAGCTTGACTCACCAGGTCCAACACTACAGTAGTTCTTTTCTTCCACACTTTTCACATCCGACACTATTCACATTCCTAGCCTAGCACTAGGTTCCAAAAAATGCAGAAGGTGCGCATGTTCCCGTTGATAATATTCTGAAGTCCTCTCAATCTGTTGTGTTGCAGTGATAGAGAACGGCGAGAACTGGAGCGTGGGTCAGCGTCAGCTTGTATGCCTTGGTAGGGTAATCCTGAAGCGGAGCAAGATCCTCGTCCTGGACGAAGCTACCGCTTCAGTGGACACCGCAACAGACAACCTGATCCAGAAGACGCTTCGGCAGCAATTCTCGGAGGCGACGGTCATCACCATCGCGCACAGGATCACGTCGGTCCTCGACAGCGACATGGTCCTCCTCCTCGACAACGGTTAGCACCCCCCGCAAACCACCCGCCTAATTTCATTTTTTTTAAACTTTGTTGTTACTTGTTCTGACGCCGTGATGCTGCTTTGCAGGCGTGGCCGTGGAACGCGACACGCCGGCCAAGCTGCTGGAGGACAAGTCGTCGCTCTTCTCCAAGCTCGTCGCGGAATACACGATGAGGTCGACGCACACGTAGCCAGCAACCGAAAAAGTTCTTCGTCGTGCTGCTTTCTTTGCTCCAACGCCGTTTGAGGCCGGCACCTGGGGCAGGCTGACTCGTTGACCACGCCGGCAGATTTTTATGGGTCGCCGGTGAGGCAGGCTTACTCGTCGATGATGCCGAAAAAAAATAATACTGATCGCGCGCGTTATCTCTAATATAGAGAGCTAGCGCTAATCTGATTGTCGTAACGTTGGGGAGCTGAGGTTCAGAAACTTCAGGTGATTAGAAAGTGGATGGTTAGTAGTGTTCACTCTGAGCATACTTAGCGCCCATCAAGAATATCATGTGCTTTGGCCACGTACCAGGAATGTTTGAAAGGTTTTTGTAATTATTTGTAACTCCTATGCTACGCCTGAATAAAATAGTGAAGTGTTTGCACGTTAGCGAACAAACAAAGCGGAACAGCATTCGACAGACAAAGCTGTTGATCTCATGCTGATTTTATTCTTCTTTTTTATTTACGATGAGAGCCTGTGAATGAAGAGAGCAAGTCGTGCAGGAGTGCGGAGAGGTTTTTACACCGCCGCGTTGCTTTCGACTAGTCCGATCCCTTAGAAACAATTGAGATGCAAAATGGTGTCCCCTTCGGCAGATTCTTCAGCCAACCACCGTATGGGCGCATGGCAAGTGCATCCATGCCCAAAAAGCTTGCCCAAAGGTGTTTTGTATCTCATGTTGCAAGCCACGCCGGACACGTAGAGACCACAAACTTTATGCTCAAAGGAACGCTGAATTCACACAAGGAAGGGCATGTTTGGTTCCAGATAAATCACCTACTTATAAGTTAAAAAATGAAAAAAGTGACTTATTTTGTCAAACACCACCAACTTATAAGTCACATCTGTTAATAAGTTTTAAGTTGGTTCACCCCTATTTAAAACTTATAAGTCACCCTTTTTTGCGTGGGGCCTACACCTTCAATAAGCTTATAAACCATCTACAATCAAACAGGCATGACTTATAAGTTACTGGGTTTTCAGTCACCTGACTTAATAAGTCAGGTAACTTATGGAAACCAAAGAGGCCCTAATCAAGGATGCATGCTGTTTGCATCGGCCTGAAGAAGAGCACCCAAGATTCCAAATGCAGATTCCAGCACCAGTTGCAGAGTTCTCTCACAAGTATGTATGACGTGTGTGATTGTTATCACGTTTTCCCTGCGCAACAGTTTATGGACTCTTTGGTGACCCTTTTTCTCCAAGAAGTGAAAGCATCAGGCTCTGGCACGGTGGTAATCTTGAATTGAATTGCCAAACCGCAAGGCTGAATTACAGTACAGTACAATGAGAAAATTCCACTGACACCCTACCAAGAAACTACCAGTAGTGATGAGTAGCCCTACCAACGGTCGGAGAGACGGGATTGCTACGTAACAGTTAAAACAGTGCATCAGCGAGGCAGACGAACACAAGTACAGTAGAAAAGAAGAAAAAGAGAAGAAGACGTCATCAGCAACAGCAACACGCCAACAATGGTCAGATCAGGCGAGCGCGAGCACGGACCAGGTCCCTCTCCCATTCTCATCAGCTCTTGGTGAAGTGGTGCTTCTTGCCGCCGTCTCCGCCCTTGCCGCCACCGCCGCCGCCACTGCTCCTCTTGCTCGCGTGCGCCGTCGTGTTCTTCAGAATCTGCACGGCGGGAGCACCAGGGGGGTCGGTCACTCAGAACGAGAGGAACGCTTCGGAATTCAGATCGAACCGCGGAAACGAATGGGGGGATGGACGGAGGTAGGCGAGGCAGCACCTGGCGGAGCGTGTTGTTCTCGTTCTGGAGCGTGGACACCCGCTGCTCGAGCTCGGCATTGCGGAGCTCCAGGTCCTTGGCCTTGGCCTCCAGCTCCGTCAGGTACGCCTTCTTCCGCTCCCGCGCCTGCTGCGCGGACACGCGGTTCCGAAGCAGGCGCTTCAGCCGGTTCTGCTCCTTGTCCCCCGCGGTGCGGCCGCGCTTCTTCCCGGCCGCCGGAGGCTGCGCCCCCGTGGCCGCCGCCAGCTGCCCCCCCTGCTCGCCGTCCTCCTTGGGGCGCTCGTCCGCGCCCGCGCCCGACGAGGCCGACGCCGACGCGCCGCCCATCTCCGGCACCCGCCGTATCTCCTCGTCGCTCTCCACCCCTGCAGTGGCATGCGCGCAGCGGCAACTTCAGCTGCGGAGTTTAGCAGACGAAAAAAAAAAAAACAGGAAATCTGAGAGGGTGGTGCATGGGTTGGGCGCGGCACCTACCTCCTTCCCTGAGGTTGTTGGGGGCGGAGCTGGAGGAGCGCTCGCTGCTGGAGGGGAGCGAGCTCGTGGTGCTCGTCTTCGCCTGCTGCTTCTCGTGCTCCTGCTCCTGCGCCGCCATCTTCCTCCTCCTCTCCTTCCCACTCCAAGAACAGATCAGGATCTCCTTCCTCCCGCGCACCACTCCTGCTCGGACTCCGCCTCCTCCCCGAGAAAAATCAAATCATTGCGCACGCCAGAAGGGACAGGAGACAAGGGGGGAGGGGAAGAAAAGCAGATGCAGATCAGACGAGAGAGAGAGGACGAGAAGAGAGGAGAGAGAAAGAGTCTGTGTGCGTGACGGGAACGGGAGGACGGGAGAGGTGGGCGGGGAGAGAAATGGAGGTCGGTGGGGTTGGGGGGTTTTGGATGAGACGCCATCCCCGCCGTGCACGGCACCAACATCCTACGGCCGGGGCCGGGGAAGCGTGGCACGGCGCCGCACCATACACGCCTCCACCGCATCTGACGGCGACCTCTTGAACGCGTAGCTGCGTATCCATCCCTCGATCAAGCCCACTTGTCACTTCCAAATCACGCGCCTCGTCTATTGGCTGCCACAAAACTTCCCTATAATCGTGTTAAAGCAACTTGCGAAGTGCCTTCCTCAATCGAGAAACATCACACTGTTCCGATTGTCTCGGCTTATTTTAGCTTGTTTCAGCGTATTCTCTCTCACAGAATACTATTGAATCAGCCGAAATAAGTTCGAAATGTGCAGCCGAACACCTCCTAACAACCGTTGGTACCGTAACTTACTCAGTCTCTGGCGGCGCTGCCGACAGAGTTCACAGCTCCTCGAGATTTCTACGCGGTGCCTGTTTAGTTCCCAAAATTTTACAAATTTTTTTAAGATTCCTCGTCATATCGAATCTTTAGACGCATGCATGAAGCATTAAATATAAATAAAAAATAAAACTAATTACACAGTTTAGATGAAATTCACGAGACGAATCTTTTAAGCCTAATTAGACTATGATTTGACACTAATTGCCAAATAACAACGAACGTAATACAGTACCATTTCCCAAAAAATTTCGCCAACTAAACGAGGCCGCGGTATCGATGGAGACTACGTACATTCCCAAAAATTTTGCCAGGCGAAGCCCTATCTCAGCATTCCACCGTCAGCATGGGGATCCGAGGTCCTCAGGGAAGGAGGAGTACGTACAAGGAGGATGTGACCAAGAGGAGAGATACTTCGGCCGTGTTTAGATTGCAAATTTTTGTAATCTGGACACTGTAGCATGTTTCGTTTGTATTTGATAAATTTTGTCCGATCATGGACTAACTAGCTTAAAAAATTCGTCTCGTGATTTACAACCAAACTGTGTAATTAGTTATTTTTTTTACCTACATTTAATGTTCCATACATGTGTTCAAAAATTGATATGATGGAAAGAGAGTGAAAAAACTTAAAATTTTGAGACAATCTAAACAAGGCCTTGGCTGGGAAATTCAGGGCCTCAAACATTGGCTCCTCATAAGAAAGTTATCTAGCGTCGCATTTTGGCTAAGTCTGAGATGCTCTGTCACATTTTGTGCAGCAAGCTAGGCAATGATTACCAAGTTATGGGTTGTTCTTTAGTTGTTGTGCCCACATGTTTTTGGTTGTTTCCATATACAATCATTGATGTTTTCGTGAGCAAGTTTTGTTGTTGGGTTGTTCAGTTTCTCTTGGTAGGTTTGTCCTGTTCAAATTGCTTTTTCACAGAGCAGTGCCAATGAAGGGTTTTTTTCCCTAGTTTCCTTCCATAAAAAGCGGTGTTAGTCGTGTTTCTTGTTCTGTCAAAGTTGTCGAGAGAAATATGACACATCCTTCCAAGTTGTATGATTTTGGGTCTAGTTTTTCTCATAAATTGAACCAATTTTATTTTAGTAATAATAGTAGGCAAAACAAAAGCTTCCATCATCATTTCACTCAGTAGATAAACTATACTAAATAGTATATTTTCCTCCTAAAAGAGTAAAAAACAGAATAATATGTTAACACCGTTGTGACCACGTCTAGCAGTTACTAACGTCAAACGTTTTCTTCTTGTAGGGGGGTACCAAGCATGTGGAAGTTGAACCCCAGCACCACTCACATGTATTGTATCAACTTGAGCGAAGAGTTACATACTAAAGTCAGTTCGTTGGAGGATCCTTGTCATAATTATGTGAAAGCAACACTTATTCTCAAGAAGTTTGTGGACCCTTCTTACTTTTCCGATTATGGGCCCGGTGCAAATCAAGGTCAGAGTACAGTGCCATCGTGGCCATAACTCAGTTTATGCCCAACTTCTCAATGCCATTTCAGCATTCCATCCAATGAAAAGATATTTTAGCACATATCTATAAGTTGCAATACTGCAGCAAACATGCACAATGAAAAAGAAATATGTAAATGGGACACTTCATCATTGTAACCAAAAAGGAACATTAGAAGTGCTTCAAAACAAAACTATATTCAAAGAAAAAGAACAGATGGATATGTGTATATCCAGCTGGGCCTTTCAAGCAATTAGCTCACTGAGAATGACCACATTAAGTAGCAGAAGTTGCTCAAAAAAAATTTAAGTAGCAGAAAACTCGAGAATATGCAGGAAGAACAATCTGGCTGCATAATCTGATAATCCGAAACAGGATAGTGAGATCAGGGACCTTACAAAATGAAGTCAATATAATAATTGTATGTAATCTAATACTAGTAATAACCTTATTTGGTCAACATGCAAAAATATTGCTCTTAAATAAAGTGGAGCACGAACTTAAATACTATTTGAGGAATTAGATGACCAAAAGAATGTGTGTAGGTCAAACCGGGTCACTAGGTTTTTCTTGAATCAACTTCAGACCAAAAGGCTGTCCCAAGGCCACTCAAAAACCCAGCATCCGGCATCCCCATATTTTCAGGTAGTATTACTCTCGAGGATTAAGTTCACTTTTGGCCCCTCAACTATTGTGTTGGTCTAATTTTAACCCTCAACTACAAAACCGTCTACTACTGGTACCTCAATTGTCAAAACCATTTACTTTTAACACCTGGCATGAGGGCAAGGCTGTTTTGACCATGTTGAGCGGTTTTGACCACGCGCAGGAGTAAGCCGGCCCAGGAGGGGAGGCCCAGGGTGTGCTGCACATTTTGCATAAGAGACCCTAGATTTTCATGAAACTAACCTTCACTCCATACTACTATTCACATGAGTCATAACATTTGTATTTAGCACACATAAAAATCTCATCTTCACCTTTCCCAGTCCCTGGGCGGCTCCAGAGCAGAGTACGACACAGGGGGCGATGGCCGGCGGCCAATCCGGCCGGGAGGAGGCTCGCCGGCGGTGAGGGAGGGAGGCACGAGGAGCGCGCAGCCCACGCGCTAGGTCTGCAAGGCCACTGGTGCGCAGTTGGGGTAGCGGCGGGGGCTGAGCGTGGCTGCCCACGCAAGCGCAGGTTCGCCGGCGATGGCGCTTACGTTCCGACGAGACGGCGGCGGTAGAGGTTTAACGGGTAGGCGGATAAGAAACAGGGACTCGCCGCGAATGCTTTTGTAGGGTTGGTTACGGGAGAGACGGTTCGAGGAAGCCTGGCCACGTGTACGGTGGAGCGCCGGTTCACAGCGACGGCGGCAGTGGCCTTCCTGTCACGGTGAAGGTCCTCCGGCTAACCTATTTCGTAGGCGAGACCAAGGCATCATATCGGAGCAAAATCATGAAAAATAGCTCGGAGAAGTGGAGCAAGGAGAGTGCGGCCAGAGCAGAGGTGGGAGAGGGAGATAGCAGAGCAGGCAAGGGGAGAGCGGCCAGAGCAGGGGAATGGAGAGGCAAAGGAGGAGAGGCGGAGAGCAAAGGGGAGTGCGCCGGTGAGGGAGCAAGGCCATGACGGTCCTTGTCCTTCCTGCTCTAGTTCGCGCCGTCACCACGATCACGTGACGGGGCTTGGCTGGTAGCTCACGGCCGGGAGCTGCGGCTGCGGCGACGCAACGCAGTGCGGCGCCGGCCACTGGTGCTGCTGCCGGTAATGGTGGTGGAACACCTCCCCCTGCAGCGCACCGACCGCTGGGGGCGTGGTTTGGTCCTCCACGCCATGCTCGATCTCCATGGATGCGTCGTCTCCATCCTAATCAGCGTCCATCATTTCCGCGCCCGCCGATGTGGAGCTGGAGGCGGCATGGGCATGGGCCTTGGCGGGCGCCCACGGGACCATGGCCAGGCTAAGGTTCTCATCCCCGGTGGCCATCTCCTCGAACAGAGCCCTGTAGTTGCTTGCCACTTGTAGCATGGTGCCTGCAGGATGCATCAATCTTCGTTTCAGCATCGAACAAAATTTGACCAAATTAATTTGGGGGAAGGAGCAGCCGAGTACACAAACAGGTAAGGCGGCACGTACTCTTGAGCCCATGGATCCAGTCGGGGCTGACGCGGAGAGAAGCCCCCGGACAGAGTGGACGAGCTTGTCGGCGGCGAGCAGCTGTCTTCGTACGCCGGTGTGCTCCAGCGCTGGTCGCCGATAGCCACGTGTGCGGATGGAAGGTGACGGAGCTGGCCATGGCGCTGCTGGCGTCTGGCGAAGCTGTGCACGTGCGCGGACGGGCGCGTGGCGGTTTCCTGCCTGAAAGGTCCTAATGGCTAGAGGGGGGTGAATAGCCTAATAAAAATTTCTACAACAACACTTAACAAAATGGTTAGACAATTATGAGGCGGAGCAAGAGTTGCGCTAGCCTACTCAAAATACAAGCCACCTACTACAATTCTAGTTTAGATAGTATCTATTCACACAATAGCTATGACACTACCCTTTGTTAGTGTGCTCTCAAAGGCTAACTAAAGAGCCACACCAACCAACCAAGCAAGTTCTTACAACTAGCTACACTAAAGAGCTTGACAACTAGTTTACGGTAATGTAAAGAGAGTGATCAAGAAAGTTATACCGCCGTATAGATAAAGGAACCAATCAATCACAAGAGTGAATAACAATGAAGACCAATCACCTCGGAATCAAAGAATGAACACAATGATTTTTTACCTAGGTTCACTTGCTTGCCGGCAAGTTACTCCTCGTTGTGGCGATTCACTCACTTGGAGGTTCACGCGCTAATTGTCACCACACGCCAAACCCTCAATAGGGTGCCGCACAACCAACATAAGATGAGAATCACACAAGCCACGAGCAATCCACTAGAGTACCTTTTGGCGCTCCACCGGAGAAAGGTCAAGAACCCCTCACAATCACCACGATCGGAGCCAGAGACAATCACCACCCTCTGCTCGACGATCCTCGCTGCTCCAAGCCATCTAGGTGGCAGCAACCACCAAGAGTAACAAGCGAATCCCGCAGCGAAACACGAATACCAAGTGCCACTAGATGCAAACACTCAAGCAATGCACTTGGATTCTCTCCCAATCTCACAAAGATGATATATCAATGATGGAGATGAGTGGGAGTGCTTTGGCCAAGCTCATAAGGTTGCTATGTCAATGCAAATGGTCAAGAGGGTGAGCTTGAGCTGACCATGGGGCTTAAATAGAAGCCCCCACGAAATAGAGCCGTTGGGCTCCTCACTGTACTGAACACGGGCCGACCAGACGCTCCGGTCAGATTGACCGGACGCTGGACCTCAGCGTCCGATCGTGCGATGTGCGCCACATGTCATCGACGTCAAATGCAGATCGCTCAATTTCAACGGTCAAGTGATGACCGGACGCGTCAGTTAGAAAGTGACCGAATGCTGGACCTCAGCGTCCGGTCGTTTCCAGTAAGCATCTAGAAGCGACTTTTCACGACCGGACGCATCCGGTCACACGGCGACTCCTCTGTACGCCCTACGTCAGCGTACGTCAGCACTGACCGGACGCACCCTGTCAGCGTTCGGTCACCAAGTGACCCAGCGTCCGGTCGAAGACCAACGCCAGCGTCTTCATGCTCCACCTGACCGGACGCGCCGGTCCTTTCGAGACCAGCGTCCGGTCACTATCAGTGACCTTTGTCTTTTCTGTCTATGGCGCCGGTGACACCGTTGTACTATCCGCACTCTACGGGCGGACATTCCGCCGGTGAAGTTTTCTACCCTTGATCAAATGAGCCAACCACCAAGTGTATCACCTTGTGCACATATGTTAGCATATTTTCACAAACATTTTCAAGGGTCTTAGCACTCCACTAGATCCTAAATGCATATGCAATGAGTTAGAGCATCTAGTGGCACTTTGATAATCGTATTTCGATACGAGTTTCACCCCTCTTAATAGTATGGCTATCGATTCTAAATGTGATCACACTCCCTAAATGTCTCGATCACCAAAACAAAATGGCTCCTACCATTTATACCTTTGCCTTGAGCCTTTTGTTTTTCTCTTTCTTCTTTTCAAGTCTAAGCACTTGATCATCATCATGGCATCACCATCATCATGTCATGATCTTCATTTGCTTCACCACTTGAAGTGTGCTACCTATATCATGATCACTTAATAAACTAGGTTAGCACTTAGGGTTTCATCAATTCACTAAAACCAAACTAGAGCTTTCACTACCCCGGTGAGCCGCAAGGTGGTGGCGCAGCGGCCGGAGTTCTGTGCGAGACCACCGTGCATGTGCCGGAGGTGTGCCTCCAGGGCGTCGACATGCAGCCGCCATCCCCGGCGCAGGGCGTGTCCGAGATGGCCACGCCAGACGCAGACGCGCAGTAGCAGCACCTCCTGCTGCGCCAGCTCGTCATTGAGCTCCCATCGACACAGGCCGGGGACGAGAGCTGTCTCCGACGGCCCTCCCCGTCGACCCTTCCCACGTCGTCTTCGGCGACCCACCTCATGCTCGCACCCGTAGAAGCAGCGGACGACATGGAATCGAGATGGACCGAGCCGGAGCCAATCCCCGGCCCCGCCGTTGCCACTGCTACTCCCGCTGGTGCCCGTGGCCTCCTAGTGGCTACCGGTGGGCTGGAGCGGCGCAGGGCGTGGCATGCGCATCGCAGAGGAGCGGTTTGTTGTGCTAGTTGATGTGCTCGCCGAGGTGTTTGCCGTGCTCGTTGGGGTGCCCGCCGAGGTGCTTGCCGTGATCGTTGGGGGTGCCCGCTGAGTAGCGACCGCCCTGCCGCGCGCAGAGAGAGGAGGCGTCGGGGGAGTGGCCATCAAGATGGAGAGGGAGGGGTTGAGTCGATGACGCGTGGGCCCCACATGTCATTGAGATGGTCAAAACCGCTCAACATGGTCAAAACAGCATTGCCCTCGCGCCAGGTGCGAAAAGTGAATGGTTTTGACAGTTGGGGTACCAGTAGTAGATGGTTTTGTAGTTGAGGGTTAAAATTAGACCAGCACAATAGTTGAGAGGCTAAAAGTGGACTTAATCCTACTCTCAAAGATTACAGTTTAGGTCATATTTGGATCTCATGTATGAAAAATGAGAAAGAGGTGGGAAAATAAGGAGGAGATCCAAAACTTCAGATTGTAACTAGGGCCTTATTTAGATTGCAAATTTTTGCAACCTGGACACTGTAGCATGTTTTGTTTGTATTTGACAAACTTTGTCCGATCATGGACTAACTAGGCTCAAAAGATCCATCTCGTGATTTACAACCAAACTGTGTAATTAGTTATTTTTTTATCTACATTTAATACTCCATGCATGCGTCCAAAAATTGATGTGATGGAGAGAGAGTGAAAAAACTTGGAATTTGAAGGTGATCTAAACAAGGCCAGAATGAGATTTTAGCATCCAACAGTATAACAAAATCTACTATTAAAAGATTTTACCATGCAAAGGTAATAATCACTGTGAGAATATATAAGAACTAAACACCCCCCTCATATTTTGATCCAGAATTTTTTTTTGAAACGAAATTTTGATCCAGAATTCAGATTCTATATTCAGTTCTTCACTATTATCTAGATTCTCTATTCACTATCTAGAATCTAGATTCTCAAATGAGCCCCAAACATGCCTTCACATATCATTAGTACTATGGAAAACCTCATGAAATATTTTTTTGAGGGAAAAAACCTCATGAAATATTTACTGCCAGCCATCTAATTTTGCTCTGGGATAGGTCATTATTAAGTACTTAGTTTCTGAATTTTCCAAAAGGAGATAAGAAACAAACTCGTTTGGTCATCGGGAAAAGAAAGGCCACAAAAATTGCTTACCGTCCGGCCCGTCGCTCCAGCAACCATGCCAACTCCAACAAGTGGAAACCACTAACGAATAGCTTTATTACTAGTGGAAATTCCATTCTTCCTCCTCGCCCATACTCTTCTGCTAGTTCATCTCAAGTGTCTGCTGTTGGAAATATGTGTCTAAAATATATTCTAGATTTTATTTGGAGGAAAAATTTATAGATAAAAAATGATGCAAGCATATAAAACATGTAAACAGACACCATGCTGACTAGAACAGGATTGCGCAAGAAAATTACTCAATGATCCCACACACGTAGTCGAAAATGTTGAAGTAGATGTTGCAGATCACCAAGCGGTCGCGTGCCGCCCCGTGCAGAGTCTCACGGCAGTGGTTTCAGAGATCCCGCTATCTTCAAGTCCGGTGCACGCTGAACTCAAAGGTCGACGAGGCGCAGCAGCGAGAAGCTCAGCACAGCGAGTGGGGAGATGAGCGTGTGACTACGTACCCTTCGATCAGGACGTCTCCTGGTTTTATAGGTCTTCATAGTGCATCAATTCTTCTCGTCAAGCAGTAGAAACTGCCCATTTAAATGACAGAAACTGCTGCAATCAAATAGCATAAACTGACACACCTTATTGTTATTTAAAACGACAGTTTCAATCACATTGAAGCGCCATTATGCTCAGCATAAAAAATAGAAACTGCACAAATAATAGCCTGCTCTACACGTACGCGTCGCAAGACACGTGATTTTTCACGCGAAAAAGTGTGCGCGAGCTGCGCGTGCGTGTAGCAACAGTCTCCTCTCTCATTTGCACCTATTTTGCATAGAGAGGAGACTCTCATATTTAAGCAAGGCAACATCTCCTTGAATTAGTAATATGGGACTAAAGATTGTGCATGCTTTGGAATTTTTCTGATTGGGCCAAACATGGGCCTAAATCCAACAATCCCCCACCAATTCTAATGCTGCTGTACTGAACATTCTTTATATATACTAGATTTTTAGTATAAGTCCCGTACGGGTTGAACTTACACCTAGATCAATAAGGTCCATCTTCCAGCAGCTTGTGAATGGACTAAGCCTTGAATTTATACGTCCTGTTCGCTTGGCTTATAAGTTGTACTTTTTCAGCTAACGAATATTATTTTTCTCTCACAACAAATCAGCCAACGGTACTTTCAGTCATGGCTTATCAGCCAAGCGAACAGGGCAATACCTTTTTGCTGTCAGATTTCTCTTGAAAATCCAACTGGTACTAGGCTGCAAGAACGCCAAGTCCAAACGAAGCTTTTAAAGGTCTTGCTCTCCGATCTTCTCGTGAGCTTTCCAAAGAGTACCCCACTCTCATGAACTGCGACCTAACAATTTAGCTCACATAGGTGTATTCATTTTAAGTATCCTGTAGGACGATACATTTTCCCTCGGTCGACACT